CATCTGTTATACGTTCCAGGCAGAGAGGATTCCCTTGAAGTGGTTTCTCTCCAAAGGCTATGAAGAAAGGTAATCTCTTGGATTAAAAAGCATCACTCTTAACTGCCTGCAAACCAAACACTACAGTCAGCACTATGGGGGCAGGGGAGCCAAGCATCTAAACTCATCTTGGTCCATCCTTCTTCATTACATGCCTTGTTTTAATACAGTTCACCCAATGTTTCAATATATAATGTCAGATTTAATTTATATTAGCAATCATGTCTGCTCTGACTTGCTATAGTGATTCCCCCTTTATCAGAGAAATGATGAACATCTGCTCTTCCACTTTAATACCCTGCTTCATGGCTGCATCTCACACATTACCATCAAATCACAGAGTTGTGAGGGAGCCTTTGGGACATCTGGATGCACCTTCAGTTCTGTAAGATCTCCAACTAAAGCATCACCAGTTGGTAACTGTCCAGACTGTTTTTGAAGACATCCAGGGAAGGAACCACCACCTCTCTGGGCAATTGATTCCACTGCCAAATTGCTCTTACGGTCAAGAAGTTCCTTCTAAAGTTAAATCAAAATCTACTGTGCATGAGTTGTTGTAGTCTTAAACCTGGGGTGGACAAATTTATGAGGGTGGGAAAGGGCCAATTTCCTCCAAGAACCCACCTTGTAGGCTGAATGCCCCACCCACATTTTCTTCTATAGTAACTCTCAAAATGGTGACAGGAAGTGATGTCAAATCAGTTCCTAATACCATTTTGAGAGGGACTGGAAGAGAAAACCAAGGTATTTGGGGGATGTACAGGTTGGTTGTTGTGAATAGGTTGGATATTGTTTAGAGTTTTCACACATTTGGGGGATTTTCTGCATAGTTTGGGGACAAAATCTGCTTGAAATTCATGCCAACCCTTTTTTAAAAATTAGGAGCTTGGGAAAGACTAGTGGGGTCTTCAGAGGCCACAAAGGTGGGATCCAAGAGCCACAGGCTGCACTTTGCCCACCCTGTTTTAAAAGAATCCAGTGCTTAAAATTCAATTGACTTTGGTTAATCTGTATTCTACAATGTTTGGTCTCCATTCACAGGCTAAGTTTATCATAACATCTATCATAACCTCCTCTTCAAGCACATCTCAATTTGTGAAGGGATATTATTATTGACTAATTTGTCACCTTCCACCTTCTATTATCTCATTTTTAGCAGTAAAGGATAAAATGGATCAGCCTACCATTAGATATGACTCACATCCCATTTCAAATTGTGAACAAATTGGTTGTACTAGGTGTTTTCTTAATTCTTCTAAAGGCCCAACAACTCTACATGATCCCAAGTTGCTTAGTAAGTCTTAGCAATAAAAATCCAATTCTGAGCTGAGTTGTAAAAGAAATACTGAAGTAAAAGAACTTTCAACATCATCAAAAAACATCAACATTCCAACAACCACATTAAGACTACTATGTGCAGTTTTACAGCCCATGATCGGGTCTTTAGATAGCTTCCCAAACTATTTTACCTCAACTTCCTTACCCAATGAACCTGGCTCATTTGCAGCCTTATCATCCACCAAACATGAGATCAAATAATGGTCTGAAGTCTATAACCAATGGGGGCCTTCAGCAAGAGCAAATATGTAATTACACAGCTATCACTCAATTTCACATTTGTTCAGTTTTGCAAACCTACTCTTTGCATGAGAGCCAGCATGGCATAGTGGGTTGAGTGTTGGACTATAATTCTAGTGACCAGGATTCAATTCCCAGCTTGGCCATGAAATCCTCTTGGTGACCCAGGGCAAGTCAAACTCTTTCAGCCCCAGAGGAAGGCAAAGGCAAACCTCCGAACAAATCTTACCAAAAAAATCCGTGACAGGGTTGCCATAAGTCAAAAATGACTTGAAGACACTCAACAACAACAACAACAACAACAACTCCTTGTATACATGTATTGCTTAGACTAAGGATATCCTTACTTACATGGAGAATTGGAGCATACTTGTATAAAATTCTAATCACTGAAGTGACGTGACTTCTAAATGCTATAATGCTTGGCTACTTCAAAAGTGTGGGTTTGGTAAGAAATATCAAACTGAGACCATGGATGAAGGACATGCCCGCTGCAGTCATGCAGTTGGCTTATCTCTAGCAATTTTGAGATGGGGAAGTCTTTTTTTTTTTTTCATACAGGCCCTAACAAATTGCATGTTGCCAGCTTCTAACCGGCAAGAATATTATTTCTTGAAACTAGCACGAAATAATAATGATGCCTAGTGAGAGGGGAGACAGAGGGTGAGAAGGAAACTGGAAATCAGCTGGGAGTGAATGGGTGATAGGGTAAGAGAATATGGTAAGGAAAAAGCAAGGAAAATATATCATGGAAACCTTGTAGAATGAATGGATTCAAATACCTGTACGTACATACAGGGGTAGGCAACCTTTCCCCTTTAAGGGCCGAGGGACTTC